CCACCTATCCCCCCCCCCCCTGCCATGGGCAGGGACCCCTTCCACTAGACCAGATTGCTCAAAGCCCCATCCAACCTGGCCTTGAACACTTCGAGGGAGGGGGCATCCACAACTTCTCTGGACAACCTGTTCCAGTGCCTCACCACCCTCATAGTGAAGAATTTCTTCCTAAAATCTAATCTAAATCTACTCTCTTTCAGTGTAAAGCCATTACCCCTTGTCCCATCACTCCCTGCTCTTGCAGAAAGTCTCTCTCCAGCTTTCTTGTAGACCCCCTTCAGGTACCGTAGGCTGCTATAAGGTCTCCTCAGAGCCTTCTCTGAACAACCCCAACTTTCTCAGCCTGTCTTCATAGGAGAGGTGCTCCAGCCCTCTGATCATCTTCATGGCCCTCCTCTGGACTCACTCCAGCAGGCCCATGTCTTATGCTGGGGGTCCAGAGCTGGATGCAGTACTCCAGGTGAGGTCTCACCAGAGCGGAGTAGAGGGGCAGAATCACCTCTCTCGACCTGCTGGCCACATTGCTTTTGATGCAGCCCAGGATATGGCTGGCCTTCTGGGCTGCAAGCACAAATTGCTGGGTTATGCTGAGCTTTTCATCAACCAAGATCCTCAAGTCCTTCTCCTCAGGGCTGCTCTCAATCCATTCTCCACCCAGCCTGTATTTGTGCTTGGGATATTTTTTATGTTCTTTCAATTGTTTCCAGAACTTTGAAGATGCTGCTTACTGGCAAGAGCTTGTGTGATTTCACTGAAGTTTGCAATTTGCAAACACTAATTAATGATTATTCAGAGGTTATTAAAAACCTTTGACATGTAATTTATTCATCCTTTTCTGATAAAATTAGGCACTTGAGGGGGGCTATACTTCTTTCATAAAATGTTTAGTAAGAAATGTTTTTTCCTGAATTCTCATTTAAGAGACTTTGTCACATGTTACAATGTGGTTATTACATATTTATTATTACATATTACATACCTCTGTATGCCTGTTAGAATCCAACACTAACTGAATGTAACTGGCATATTAGGAAAGATGTTTTGGTTTGAGAACAATTTTCAGTGTTACATTTACATGGAAATTGCGCAGATCTAAGATGAAAAATAATAATATCAAGCAAATAATAAGAGCATTTATGTAAAAAATGACCTTCTAGAAAGTCTTCATACAGAGATCTCTACATTATGGTCTAACATCTTACCTCCAGAAGAAACAGTTTTCTAACTTTAGCAAAATTATGAGATACATCCTGAACGCTGTATTTGCAGCAGGCCAGTCAGTCTGACTGAGTGATGAAACATTTAAATTCATTAAAATAATTAGCGATTTCCCTTTTTTTATCCATAGGTAGGCTACCTTTTACTGTTCTGTCTAGTATTTTTTAGCCGTTTCCTTAACTAAATTCTTCAATCTTTCTGCTTCTCTTTCCAGTGTTTCAGGTGGAGTTGATATGTTGCTTTTGGGGCTGAATATTAAATATTTTTAAAGTTGAAAAGATCTACTTGTCTTAAGGCATTATTCTTTTCATTGTGATCTGTTTGAGGTTGAGCAATATGTAATTAAGAAGAATGTCTTCCTACATGATTTAATTATTAAACTGTATTTACAGTTGTTGTTTGTTCTGGTGTGGATGAGTATTCTGACAAAAGTAATTGGCTAAGTTCAAACTTAATTTGAAATATTAATCAATTTTTTAATTTCAACTTTGAATTTTTCTTGTGTACTGGTTCTGAAGCAGCTGACTGCTTCCAAGATGGCTGCAATTCGAGGTGTGACAGGGAGGCTGCCACTTACTTAAGTGCAAAAAACACTTGGCCCTTTTAAAGACAATGTAGAGCTTGTTTGTGTTCAACAGAGATTCAGTCTGGGAGTAGCCTTACAAACAAGAAAATTATTTTAGCTATAAAAGGTATCTTTGTAAGTGAGATGTGGGAAACAAAAATGATTTCAGGGGAGTCACTAGTTAAGCACTTCTGATAGATTGAATGACTTGAGGGAGGAATCTCTTGAAAATGTAGGTATAGACGGACATGAAAATGACTTTGCTGTAGTATCTGACTGTCCATGCCATTCAATCCATGGCAAACATGGGGTAAAAAACATTTATTTCTCAAGAAGTGAAAAGGTTTTAAGCTTTACCTTGTGTTTCTGATGGACTGAGAACATAAACGTAGTTGGCTATTATGGCTGATTAAATAATACTAGTTTTTGTTGACCATGAGCTCTCTGGATTCCTATTGATACTTCTACAACTGATGAAGACCTAAGTTTAATGCATTGATTTATAGAAATACAAAGGATTTGGGAAGCCACTTTTAAGACCTTGAAAGTGGCAGGCCAAAGTGAATGGTATTGTATCTTGATGCATGGGG